GTTCTGCTGCAATATGGGGACCCAAAGCATCAGTGGCCGGCAAGGCCCTATCCATGGCCGACAGTGCCTCATTTCTGGCCGGCAAGGCACTCTTTTGGCCGGCAAGTGGCCGGCAACAACCTCTCATGGCTGGCAAGTGGCCAGCAACAACCACCCATGGACTGTAGGTCACTGGTGCAACCCCCAGCAAAGATTTGGTAAGTTGGAGCAGAAAGTTTCTGGAGTATACCCAACCCTGCAAACAGAGCCTCTCGGGAGCAAAACGGAGGACTTTTCTGGGCGAAAACCGAACACATGCATCTTCCACTTCTTGAAGCAAAGCAGTGGTAGCATAGTTTAATGTTTTACATGATTAGTTAGTGCGCATTTTTAATTAATTAATTTGCTAATTAGTTAGGTGTTTGTAATAATTAGTAATGAGTTTGCTAGTTATTCATTGGTTTGTAATAATTAGTCTAATTAGATTAATTAGCTTACCTTAGAGTAGCTTAGCTCTTATTCATTCGGACCCTCCTTCACGAGGGTATAATGCTGTAATAAGTGTGCGTGCGTGTATGTATGTCTTCCAACCCCACATTTTTCTTCTTTTTATTTACTCGCTTTCGATGGTTAGATTAGGGATTATATTTCGATTAGCATACCTTATGCTCGTATGCTTGCATACACTCATTTGTCTTGCATGCTCCGAGACTCGGCGCATCATTCAAACTGCATTGCAATTTCAATATCTTTTTTGAATACGTGTTTTATCGCATAATGTTCAAATTGTTTCGTATGTCATATTAGTAGCCGAGCCTATTAATTGCATATTGTATGTATTGCATTATACATCTTAACATAGTTAGGATCATGCATCTTTCTAACTAGTTTTTGTTTTGGCTTAGAGTACTCTGTAAGTTTTATACTTTAGCATACTTGCATGAGTGTGATTGCCATATTGCCATGTTTCGTATGTTTGCTATGAGGCTATGTACTTACTTGATAAACTGCAAGAATGCTAGTGGATGAAAGATTGTTTTTTGAATTAGAACAATTCAACAAATGTGAGTTTTAAGCCCACTTTGTTGTGGTAAATCATGTTTTAAGCCCACTATGTTTGGTGACAAATCTGCATCTTTAAGCCCATTTAAGGGTGGCAAATTCAAACCATTTCGCAAACAAACATGAGTTGAATTGTTCCAAATTGAGCAAACTAGTCTATACTTGCTTGTGCGCGTCATATAGTATAACTAGCTTAATAATCAAAGAGTACATAATGTTTATAAAAATCATATCATGATTAGTAGAGGCCGATCTTTTGATCTGGCGAGTGGGGGTGCTCATTTCAAAACATTTCCCTCTTGTACCTAAGTTCCCGAGCTAAGGCAACTTTGGTGATAACGGACACGTGGCCTTTAGCACGAGTCAGGGTTTCCTAAATTTTCCCAAAACAAAATATTTAGGTGGCGACTCTGTATCTGGCAAAGCAGTCCAATTTTGGCATTATTTGATTCAAAATCAATTTTCCCAAAAAGGTTTGCCGAATTGGACTCTTTGGTGTTTATCAGTTTCACATTGCACTTGTGAGACTAGATTCAGAATCGCGGGAGTCCGAACTGTGAGGCCTTCTTTTAGAACCCTTTCCGAAAGGCAGGGTGCAGAAAAAGGCGAGTCCATAACCGCACGTGCGACCAAACAGGGCAGATTTTCTAATTTTTTTATTTTATTTTATTTTTTCGTTTTCTGACTTCCGGGCCTTCCTCTAAATGGTTTTCAAGTGTAATTTACATCCATAAGCATCTCATAAGCATGAAAGAAATTAAAAGAAGAATAGAAGTAACTGAACGAACGAATAACGGATAACCGAATAAAGTTACTAATCAACTGAATGACTCGAATGTGCATCGAGCAATTATACTATGATGTTTGTGTGTGTAGGTCAAGACTCGAAGACCGAACAACTGGTTTTGGAAGCCCGCTGTGAGTAACATTTCTGTAAAGATATGTTGATATGAAATATGTTTCAACTGTTATACGATAAGTTATACTTGCTGAATGCTATTTTGATTATGTGAACAAATGCCCTATTTGTGAATCTATTATCGCATCCACAAATAGTCCCAAGTCATAAGAGATGGCATGTAAATGCGAGTCCATGACACAGATGTGATACGAGATCTCGTTAGCCACTTCATTGTGGGGATATGTGTTTAATCGGTATCCAAAACCGATTACTCTAGTTGGAAGACAATATGTGATATATTATGTGGGATGTACCATTATGTTATGTTTTGATATAAGACTGATATGAATGATTGTGTCATGATTTGTTTTCCGGATATGATATATTTGGAATTTGTTCACTAACCTCTTTGCTTTGATGTTATTCACTGGGTTTTAACTCACTGTTTTTATATATCTATGTATAAGTAAGCGTTCCGGAGGACAAGTCTAGAAGGGGTCTTTAGCCGAGCTATTGTTTTGAAGCCCACCGAGTTGTTTTGAGTGCCTCCAAGTTGGGGCTAAGGCTGGAAGGTCGTTGTCAAGCTTTTGACCATGATGTACACTTTCGATGTGTGTATATGTTTTGTACTTGATATGTATATGTTTTGTACTTGATGTTATACGATTTGTATTGCTATCTAGGTAAATTAACGATTATGTATGTACATGTTTGTTCATATAGATGCATAGCTCATTGGACTATTAGTATTTTTGTTATATTGTTTCTGCTAGCCCCGTTTATTTTTGATTTGTACAAGAAAGCCTTTGGTAATCTCGAATTACTAGCCGGTTACGACGCCAACCTTTTAGGGGTGAGTTTGAGTCGTGACAGGGTCATTACACATCCAAAAGAACTAAGGGTGTGTTTGATTGGACGGACTGGATAAGGGGGAATTAAAATCCATCGGACTTGAATCCTGAGACTGTGAATCCCCCGGACTATTTGGTTGGATTGGATATATATCCCGTGTTTGTTTTCTCATGAGATTAGATGTCTGGAAATGACTATCTTTAGTAAATCCATTATTCGGTTAGACGGACTTGATAGAATAAATGAGCAACAGACTATTTTACGCATTTTCAATTGTTTACTAAGTAATAGCAATATTAAACATATCTTTAATATTTTAATTATTTTTAGCTAGATTAAATAAAAAATTATTTTATTTTATTTTTTACACAATTAAATAAATTTATTTTTTTTAAATTTAATAAATAAAATATCAATAAAAATATATGTTTTTTAATTAAAATTTTAAATAAATTTATTTTAAAAAATAATAATAATTAAATAATGAAATTAAATAAAACATCTATTAAAATTTAAATAATGAAATTAAATAAAATATATACAAAATTTTAAAATAAAACAATAAAATATCTATAAAAAATTATTTTTAAAAATTAAATACATAAAACATCAATAAAAATTAAATAAAATTATTTTATTTCTAAATTGAGACATTTAAATTTTATTGAATTTTACTAAATATAATACATAAATAAATATTAGATGGTCAAAATGGCCATTTCACCACCTAATCTCATATCCCCCTTATTCCCCATTTGTGTCCCACCCCCCATGGGACACAATAGTCCAACATATTTGGGACTAATTGTCTGACATATTTGGGACTAATAATTCGGAGTAACAATTTTGAACCAAACAATAAACTATTGGTCCGAAAAGACTATTAGTCCAGTCCTATGTCTCAATCCCTCAAAACAAATACCACCTTAGGGTTTTAGGGTTTTAGCCTTGCCATAATTGGAGTTGTATGCACTCATCCAAAAAAAAAAATTTGTGTAGTAATTTGAAAGTTGAGATTTTTAATTATAATAATTATAAAATTATAATATTTTTTCCTTAAAAATAAATAAATATGTCATAATTATTGAAAATTGAAAAGTTCGATTGTAATGGTCCACATACGATAGTAATCCTAACATGAGAAGCAAAACCAATAGAGAACGCAACTTCTACTTTCTTGATAATTTACTTGCAAACGGATGGGTGGGTAATCAAATACACATTATTAATTTTTAAAATAATAATAATTAATAATGATATTGATATTTAGATAATAAATATACATACTTTTTCAGGTAACTATAACCATAAAAAAGAATTATTTAATATTTTTTATTTTTAAGTCTAAAATATTTTAAAAAGTATAATCGACCTCATCATATAATATTCAACTATATTCAATTTAATAAAATAACAACAGATAATTCGTGATGTAAATTACATTATTCTTAAATATCTTTAGAACATATATTATGATTTTTTAAAAGAAAAAAATTGTATAAAAATGTTAAGTCTGACTAAATTTAATTAAATCATATTAAAAACCCATTGATCACTAAAATAACAATAAATTATGTATATATATTAGTTATTTTGGTATTAAACAATATTAGAAATTATATTATGTCATTTTCACAAAAAAAAAATTAAAAAAAAAGTCAAAATATGTCAGGGAATAATTTTAAAATTTTTATAAATCATAAAAAAAATAAATCGCATCGTGAATCAATTCATTAAAAATTTACTTTTAAAATAGAATTGCCCATAAATTCATATAAATTTTATAAAAATTAAAATCCGAATCACAAATCGTAAGATTCTGATATTAGAAGTCACAAAAGCACCCAATCTATCTGTACTTGAAAGATCATCTAAATATAAGTTAACTAGCCCGCAGAAACCCACCACTTTGTCGCACTCGAGCAATGAAGTGAAACCATAAAGCAGTAAAAATTGCAACTGAACTTGAAAGGATGACGCCAAATTGACATTAGTTTTTCTGTTTTCCCCACAAAGATACGTGACACAACGGAGGCAAATAGGTTTCCCAGCAATAAACACATCAACAAATGCCTTTAAAGATTAACATAAATGCCACAGAAAATCAATAACATGAAACCTAACATAATTCAAGCTCTCTCCAGAAAAATATTTAAGGGATGGGCTAAATAAGTCCTTTCAATAAAAACACACGTTACCAAAACTCTTCTGTCATCATCACATTCCAGTGGGCAAATTGTTCCATTGGTAATCAACCAAAAGTAGAGTCTCATTACAATCTCAATATTCCATGACAGTAGGGAAAATTTCTAAACCAGAGGAATAAGCTAATATCCTTTTCCAACAATCCAATAAATTATCTAAATACCAAATATGCGGTTCAAAAATCTGGCCACTACACTGGATCACCAACCACAATGGATCTAAATACCATGTCAGGACTCAAGTGGTCTCTCTTAGACTTCCTCAGAGATCCAGATGGGAGTTTCCAAGTCCACAACCCAAGCCTAAGGTACTTTTAACAGATCTGGAATAGCAGAAATTGTCAGCAATTAAATGAAGTCTAAAAACCTAGGAGCAAAAACGAAGAGAGAGAAAAGTACCTTAGTCCACAAATGCTTGGTTGAGATACATACACAAATAAATAGAACAAATCCAAACTCAAACCAACAGAAGAATTCCATCATTGCAAAACCCAAGAAAAATTATTCATTGAAATCCATTATCAATTTACACCAACGAACCCTATACATAGTAGAAAAAGCCTAACATGAATCTTCTAAACTTCACCCACTTAATTTTGTTTAAGAAAATAGAAATCACAAAGTAGGTACATGTGTTCATCTCCATTACATGGCATAAAAGTCATCTGTATATTAATTAGTTGGCACCACATGACAGCCTCATAATGCAACACGTGCCCCACTGGTGAATCTCCACGCACCTTTCTTGGGTCAGCTTCAAATGGACGAAGGCACGAGCAGATTTCCATCAACCAACCTCTCATCACCAATCTCCTTCACAATTTCCCAGAGGGAATTTGCTGAAGTACTTAACAAACCAGGCTGAGAGCAGGACCTGGACCATGAGGAATATAGCTTGAAGGCTAGAACAAGTGATCCCGAGGTCATGTGGCTCACATAGCTTACCTTGATCAGCCTTAAGAGGCAGAGAGACAAACACAACTTTTGACATGTGAATCTCAGAACTTATCATACCTACCTGTGGCACTTGCAAAATGATATGATCCCCAATGGTTCAAAATTCCTACCACTGCAAGCAAGCCGTGATATGGCTCCCAAACTGACTTTAAACACGATGTGTAGTCCATACATCTGGATTGCCAAACCAAGGGAATTATACTAATTGTCCTCATTGAATTGGCCTCTATGGTTCGGCTCTCCTACATGAGGGGATCATCTCTCTCCATGCATAACCATCAACCCTTTTCAAACCCTCCTCAGCAAGGTCAAAGTATCTCCATTGCCACTCTCTCTCTCTCTCTCTCTCTCTCTATATATATATATATATATACACTAGGATTGCCTTCACTCTCTCCTACAACGCCTCAAGTGGTCCCTTGCCAACTTTGGCAACACTATCCCTATTCCACTCAGTCCACACACAATACATCAAAATTAAAATTGTGTTTGGATCATTGACTTGTGAAGGGAGAAAGAAAAGTTAAGGGAAAAGTGTATTACACCCAACCCACCCAACCCTCCCCAAAAAACACTTTTCCCTTCCCCTTATTTTTCTTCTCAACAAATCCACAATCCAAAAGCAGCATAAATGTTTCTAAGCTTCTGATCGCTTGATTGGAACACAAAAAAGGAATAGTGATCCCAGTCAGCATAAAACTCTTGAGTTTCAAAACTGTGCTCGAGGATAGAAACTTAAGCATATTGGAAAATAAAATTCTAGAAAATATAACTTTCTTTTAATAAATAAAGACAACGTGTATTAAAGAAGTACCATCTCCTCTATAAAAGAAAACTATTCAAGATTATCTACAAAATCTTAAAATTGGTTCAAGGAAAGATTGACCATACCCAAAAAACCAACTATACAAAAAAAGACAAAAGGCCACTATTTAACTTCAAAATCAATTCTTCCCCTGCCTTGAAAAGTTCATCTATTCCGTTCACACCACTAACAAAAAAACCTTTCTTTAGCTCCTACATAGACTTGACTAGATAAACACCTATAGTATGTTTCAAGTACCTAGATGCTGAAAAATAAAGACCAGTATAATAGTTACAGAATTTTTCCCATCTGGCTGCTCCTGCATCACTAACACACCTTCAGATCAAAACCAACAAAGAAGCCACACCCACACATTTTTCCTCAGAGCTTCAGAAATCTTAAAGAGTAATGATGTACACACAAAAAATTCTTACATAATTTCTATACATAATGATGTGGCTCAATGTATACCATTTACTATAAAACAAAACACCCACAAAGATGACATTTATTTACCAAAATGGCATTGCCACATCGTTCTTGTGATGTTCTCTGTATGAATAACATTTTCCATCTTAAAAGGGACTAAATGTTGGAAAGTTATGTGTTCTCATTCCCATATTCATGAGATCTCCACCTCCTAATCCCCAACATTTTATATGAAAATGCCACTGGGCCCAGACCAATAACTTTGGTTTCAGAAAAGTTAGACCTGCCAACCCAGTTAAAACAGCACTTAAAATTTTATTAATGTTTTATAGTACCACAAAACTGCTAATTTGACTAATTAACTAGACATAAACTTGCCATCCAATTCAGTATTTTAAACACCCTTCATCCAATGCAGTATTGATCTAGGAACTTCCAACCTCTTCATCCACCCTTCAAAATCTTATCCAATAAGTTCTCCAATCTCCATAACCTTTGCCCACGTTAAATTTAATGTGGACATTGAACAATGTTATCCTGAACTATTTGGTGCTCATTTAAACACAATGGTTTGGCAGTACTATGACAAACACTTAAATTGAAAGTAAAAAAAATCAAATATACGCTTGTTTTCAAGGAAAAATTGTAAGACATATTCAGACTATATCAATGAATAGCATTCTCTGAGGTTGCAGCATTAGTCAACATAGCATTCATTTGCAACCAGCCTTAAACTATGCCCATTTTAATGTAATACATTACAACCCAACCCCTTTCCAAAGTCAACTGAGGTCATTTATACTTTACCTGGTATCACATTTTTGCATCCCACCATTGTCCAAAAAGTGGAAGGGAGGGGCAGGATCCCAACATACCTGCACCACTGCCATTCTCATGCAAATCCTTTCAGTGCACAAATAACATCAATATGAAAATCTCCAAAAACATCACATGCTTTAAAATTTTCTTCTTGCATTACATACGATAAGTGTGAATTTTGCACTTCTGTTCACGCTCCACTTTACATTTTTTCACTTTCATATTTCCCGTCAAGTATAAAGAAAAAAATCCAACAGCAGTGAATTGCTGATATGAAAATCTATAGCATTCTTTTTGGATCAATAGAAAAAATTAAAAAGGTTGAGCAAAGTAGCATTGCACCAAATTTTCTCCAGTTAGAAATCTGTATATATATTACACACAACATTTATCGGCATCAAACTTAAATTCAATAAAATCTAATTTGGGAAGGAACATATTGATCCATGCAGCGCAAGTATGTATTTTGAAGTTAAACCAATTGCCAGTTCAGTGTTCAGTAGGTGAGCAAAATAACTCACAGCCAAAATCATCACAATATCCTTTCAGTTGGGAAAAAATATATAACAAATATATAAGTATAAGAACTTCAAAACCCAAGTGAAAGAACATCTAGAATTCTAGATGGAACTATAATAGCAAATCACAAAAGGATACTTCTAAACCACATAAAACTTATGACCAAGAATCTAAAATGATAATGAAATGGACTGTGAGAACATTATGTTAATTATGGAAATGTATTTTAGATTGATTGTATTTCCTATTTCAAATTAAGGTTAGGATTGCTATATATAGGTTGTAATCTTTGTATTAGAACAATTGAATAAACTGAAATCATTCAGAAATCTTACATGGTATCAGAACTAAGTGTGAAGCCCTAGCAGAAATCGCAATTGGTTCTCTGGTTTTGAGCTGCAGTTTGATCAAGCCCTCTAATTCTATTCTATGGCTTTGATTGACTCCATCCTCTATCTCATCAAGTTTGTGCAACTCATTTGAGTTCAAAGTGTCTAATTCCTGGTCATCGGTTATAGTTGATGGTGATTTCTGGTTCAAAGTCTTTGGGTGATCTTTGGAGTCACGTTTCTCATCGGAATCTCCACTTCGGTTGTCGCTAGAGTTCCTACATCAGTTCAATTGCCTCTCTGGTTCGAGTTCATCAGTTCAGTTGTCGTTGGAGTTTCTTAGTTGTTCGCAACTTGGTTCCCTATCGCGACATCTCTCTGAGTCGTCACCTCATTCTGGTTCTCTCATTTGTTCTCAGTCGTGATCTGGGTGTTCCTCTTTGACTGTAACATGGATGGACTACAAGTCTCTCTTATTCTTGTTTGGAGCAAACAAGTTTTTGGATTATTACACTTTGACCACAACCGTACAAACCTTGTGTTTCTCTGGTTCTGGCATTTTTAGGTTTATAATGTTTTGACCCATTAGTTTGTGGTTTATTACACTTCAGTCCATCAATTCTCTTTTCGGTCTCTGGTTCATACCAATGTTAAATGCTAAGATTATTAGGTCACTGGCTTCAGATGAGTGTGCTTTCTGCCATTAGAGAGGTCATTGGAAGTATCATTGTCCCAAGAAGGGAAGGGATGTTTGCCTGTCTCGTCTTCTCAATAGTTTCCGATCCAATTCTGCACCCCTACTCCGAATATTTTTCAGTCTCCTGCCAGTTCTACTGTATCTGCTCTAGCTCCCGATTCTGTCTTAGCTTCCTTGAGTGCTCAGATCACTCAGCTTCAACATATATTGTCTACCTCCCAGCCATCCCTATCTGCCTCCATTATTTCCTCTATTTATTCAAGTTTACTTGGGTCTTCTTTAGGTATTTCTTCGTCTATCTGGATTTTCGACTCTGGTGCCTCTCATCATAAGACTCCCCATCTCTCCTTACTTCAAAATTGTACTTCTCCCTTTCCTATTACTATCAATGCTGCTAATAGGTCTGGTATATCTGTTGTATCTGTTGGGTCTGTCCTACCGTCTGCTATGTCTGTTGTCTCTATTCCATCTGTCTTTTATGTTCCTCAGTTATCTGTCAATTTATTATCTATTAGTCAGCTTGATGTCTCTGATTTTGATGTTATCTTTTCTTCTTCTATCTATTCTGTGCAGGATCGGATGTATAAGCAACAGATTGGGAGCGGCCGTAAAGTTAGAGTCCTCTATGTGGTGGAGAGCTTGCATATGCCTATGGCAACCTCTCCGACTGCCTTTTCTCTTTTTACTTAGATTCTCTGTCTAATCCTTTCTACTTGTGGCATTCTAGATTAGAGCATTTGTTTGCTGATCGCTTACGGTCTGTAGCTCAGTCGGGTATATTAGGTAAAGTTTCTCCTAGTGAACTTACTGAATATCGAGAGTGTAAACTTGCCAAAATGACAACCTTATCTTTTCATAAAGTACTTCTATATTTGATACACCATTTTCATTAGTTCATATTGATGTTTGGGGCCCTTCTCCTGTTCTCACCAAAAGGGTTCTGCATACTATGTGTCATTTGTTGATGACTACACCCGTTACACTTGGGTTTATCTTATAACTCATAAGTCTGACTTCTACCAGATATACTGTACTTTCCCGTCTCTAGTTACTACACAGTTTAGGTCTAGTATTAAATTGTTGCGGTCTGACTTGGGCGGGGATTACTTTAAAACTAAATTCTATGAATACTTGGCCAAATTGGGTACCATTCACCAAACTTCTTGTCCTGATACACCTGCCCAAAATGGTCACGCTGAACGTAAACACCGTCATCTTCTTGAGACAGCTAGGTCTCTCCTTCTCTCTGCCTCCATTCCGGCTCCGTTTTGGGGTGAGGCAGTTCTTACTGTTGCTTTTCTTATCAACCGTATGCCTACCCTCCTTTCTGGTCGGTCTCCTTATGAGGCTCTGCTTTTCCAACTTCATAATTACTCTCTCCTTCGCGTGTTTAGGTCTGCTTCTTTTGTCCTTTTACCCCGTAAAGATCGAACCAAACTTAGTGCCCGGTCTGTTCTATGTGTCTTTTTGAGTTACAGTCTCACTCAAAAAGGTCATTACTGTTATGACCATGTTTCCCGTCGCCTTTATGTCTCCCGTCATGTTGCCTTTCTCGAATGTCTACCTTACTTTCAGCTTCCTCCCCTCACCGTCCCAGTTTCCAAAGAGGATTTGATTCATATTGATCCATTTCCTTTTGAGGTCCCGTCTGATGAATACATCTCTACTATTCCTCCTGAGCTTGTTCCATTTTCTCCTCCTACTTCACCTCTGGCTGCTTCTCCTCTTTCAGTTTCTTCTCCTCCTCCGTTGTTAGTTTATTCTCGTCGCAAGGCTCTTCCTCCACCGGTTGTCTCTACCCCTACTGCTGATCCCCCTACTTCTGACGACTCTGATCCTACTGCACACCGATCTCCTACTCGAGTGTGTCATCCTCCAAACAAGTTGGATTGGTCTAATACATGTTTTTCTACTTCCTATCGTACTTTTTTGTCTGTTACTCACTTTTTTTCAAAACCTCAGTCTTACAAGGAGGCCTGTCAAGATCCTCACTGGGTTCAAGCTATGGAAGATGAGTTGTCTACTTTACAGAAAACTAATACTTGGCAGTTGGTTCCTTTGCCTGCTGGTAAAAATCTGGTTGGTTGCAAATAGGTCTACAAAGTCAAGACTCATTTTGATGGTTCTCTTGAGCACTACAAAACTCGTCTGGTTGCCAAAGGTTTCTCACAGGAGTATGGTATTGATTATGAGGAAACCTTTGCTCCTGTTGCCAAGATAACTATTGTTCATGCTTTGATCTCTGTTGATGCTGTTCGTTCTTGGCCTCTTTATCAGATGGATGTTAAGAATGCTTTTCTTAATGGCCATCTCACTGAGGAGGTTTACATGTGTCCTCCAAATGGCCTTCACCATTCCTCTAGACAGGTTTGTCGCCTTCGACGTGCTCTGTATGGTCTGAAGCAGTCTCCTCGTGCTTGGTATGATCGTTTTCAGACTGTTGTTACTGAGCTTGGAGTTTCATCCTTGTGCCCAGGATTCTGCTTTATTTCTTCTCAACATCTCTGTTGGATTTGTTGCATTATTACTATATGTGGATGATATGATCATCACTGGTTCGAACTCTTCTGCTATATATACGATCAAGCAGCATATTTTCCGCACCTTTGAAATGAAGGATCTGAGCCAATTGCAGTATTTGCTTGATATTGAGATAGCTTTTTCTCCCAAGGGCTACTTTCTATCTTAGGTCAAATATGCCAATGAGGTTATTCATCGTGCCGATCTTATTGACACTAAGATTTCTGATAGCCCCATTGAGCTTAATGTAAAGCTCAACACTACTAATGGTGTTCTTCTGGATGATCCTACTTTATATCAAGAGCTCGTGAGTTGCTTAGTCTATCTGACGGTTACTCGTCCTAATCTTGCATATGTTGTTCATGTGGTTAGCCAGTTTGTCTCTGCTGCTCGCTCTACCCATTGAGCTACTTTGGTTAGCATTCTTCGCTATCTCCGGGGCACTATATTTCAAGATTTACTGTTGTCTTCTACTTCCTCTTTGGACTAGGTGGCTTATGTTGATTCTGATTGGGCTAGTGATGTCACTGATTGCAAGTTCACTTATGGCTTCTGCATGTTTCTTGATGATTCCTTAATCTCTTGAAAGGCAAAGAAACAGATTGTTGTTGCGCGTTCCACTACCGAAGCTGAATATCGTGCTATGGCTCATGCCATTGCTGAGATTGTTTGGCTTCATTGTCTCTTGACTGAGTTGGGTGTCCCTTAGTCTTCTCCAACCTTCCTTTACTGTGACAACCGCAGTGCTATTCAAATTGCACATATCACTGTCTTTCATGAGCAAATGAAGCACATTGAGATTGATTGTCATTTCGTACGACAGCATCTGCAGTCTGGCTCCATCTCGCTTCCTTTCGTTTCTTTGACATTCCAACTTGCTGATTTCTTTATAAAGTCTCACATCACTGCTCACTTTCAGTTTTTTCTTGGAAAACTCACAGTAATTATGGAAATGTATTTTAGATTGATTGTGAATATTAGATTGATTGTATTTCCTATTTCAGATTAGCATTAGGATTGCTATATATAATGGTTGTAATCTTTGTATTAGAACAATTGAATATACTGATATCATTCAGAAATCTTACAAGACAAACTTAAAACAATCAGAAAAAATTAAGGATACTTACATAAGGTGCAGAAGCATGGAGAGTTGTACCCTAAAAAGATAAAAGGTCATATCAAACACATTTTCCATCGACTGATGTACACTAGATATCATCTTATTGACAAGACGAAAAGCAGGAAATCAAAGAGGGTGACTCACTGAACAGTACTTTCACTTCAAGGCTGCAGCAATACACCTCCAAGTGCAAATTCCTCCAGAATGGCCAAACCATGAATCAGACGTAATACAACTTGATTAGAATGCAAATTTATTTAAAGACACAAATAATAGAAGCAAACATAGAAAGCACTGAAGACAGATCTCTCACTGTAATAGCCACCTCACCACAAAGTAAGTAAATGTACACAATAAAACTTAATACAAATGTATCATGCAACTAAGAACATGTGAATAAATGTTCAACCTGCAAATAAATTAACCTTTGTGAGAAAGTTTCAGTAGATGCATGCTCACACTCCTAAAACAATACAAAGTACAAAATTTGGACAGCACTAATATCTATCACACATGCTCACATAAATCAAAGTGCAACCGAGAGAAATGTAGTAGTGAATTATCATTGTATGAATTTCCAGTCACTAGAGTCTACAAGAAAGAAAAGTATTGACTTAAAAACAGATAACAAGCCATGTAGTTTCAAGGATGTCACAAAAAGCTCCTATTAAACAAACCAAGGTACCTTCTCCAGAGTGCCTTTATGCATCTAAAGCACTGAGTGGTTGCCTCATAGCACTGGTAGATCTCCTGAATGAAAAATAGAATTAGACTCTCTAGGATCCAACCAATTCAAAAAAATAAAAAAACTAAATTGACAACATAGACAAATTAAACTACAAAAAATAAAAGGTAGTCCATAGGCTACAATGCTCAAGAAGGATATAGATTCAATACCCCATAACGTGGGTAACAATTTGTACAAGCACGATTAACCATCAGGGACAAACAGTTGGTGAAAGAGAGAGAGAGAGAGAGAGAGAGATACCCCAGCTACCATAGTAAGAAGTCCCAAAAACAAGATAACCAAAAACATCAACATAACGAAAATCTGTCCTCATAAATGTTTTGGTGCATATGACACCCACAGATGAAGTTCCAGGAACTTATCCAAAGTACAAATTTAATTATGATAGGTGAGAATGCACATGTTTATAAGGAAGTAAATTGTAATGGCCACCATCAAGAATGATTACAAGAAGAAGAAAAAAACGCCTTTGGCAAGTTGTCTTACAATAGAACAGAAAATATTCCACTGAAAGGACCGCCAAGTGGCCTCCAGACTAAACATCATCTCTTTTGACTTCCACCACGCCAAGAACTGTCCCCAAAGCTCTTAAGCCAGCATACAGAAGATAAAGACAGATAAATTCCCAGTGAGTAGAGATTTCAATAAAAATTTAGCCAAAATGTACAAATATCTAGCGCAACAGCCTTTCTGGAGTCAGAAAGTCAGCACCATTGTTCACTTGCCCGTGATAAAAGGATGACTCAATGCCTGTGATACTGTTATCCTCTTATCTGGATCTAACACAAATATTTTTTCTAGAAGATCTCTGAAATTGGCTGACATCTTCGGATCCTCACCAGGAGAGCTCATAACTATTGCACCTATATCTTTCGGCTTGATACTAGGGATCAGTCTCTTCATAGTCTGCATGACCAAATTAGAAGATCAATCATGTAACACCAAAACATCTCATCCATAACAAGTACAGGTTCGCTTAACAACAAAAAACAGGATCAATATTACTTCAAGGTTTATGCCTACCTTCTTTGTGACAGGATCCTCTTCTGTGGCAAGAAAATTCAAATCCTGGTCAAAATGTTGCTCCGTGAAAGCTCCCTATCAAAAATGAAGATAAGGGGGGCAAAAAATAGAAGCAAGCAAAGTCAGGTTTATTTCACCAAACAAGAACAAAACCATTGATTAATACGAATTATATCAAAATAGTTAGCTTCCTGCCAAGATATCCAAAGTAAAAAAGCATAAATGAACATCTAGAGAAGTTTGAGCCTAACAAAAGAGGAACTCTAATAGTTCTGCATAAGTGAAGCAGATACTTGCCTTCCGAAGCATCTTCTTCGGGAATGGACCTTTTAATTCCATATGAAGGCGAAGCATGTCATTGTTTGTAGCACCTGGAAAAAGAACTTTCCCAGTATAGAGCTCAAACAAACAGCAACCAACTGACCAAATATCCATTGGATGATCATAAGGCAAGCCCAGAACTGAAGTAGAAAAAGAAGAGTGTCTAAATGTTTTCCTCCAGCAAAATACAGCATTATCTAAACAAATCAACAATATGGCTTAAGCTTAATACTTACTTATCTCAGGGGCACGATAAAAGCGGCTCACAAGGTAAGGAGTAATTTCATTTTTACCAGCAAACATGGCATTGCCAAAATCACAAAGTTTCAGCACATTTTTCGCTTCATTTACCTGAAAAGCAATGAACAAAAGTTAAGACGTCTATGCAAATACATAATTAATAAAATAAGCAAGCCAACCATAATAGAATACTCAATACCTACCAGCATATTATCCGGCTTTATGTCACTGTGAAGAACACCACAGTTTCTGAGATGCTTTAGTGCAATGAGAAGTTGCTTCGCATATGTTCTCACAGCAGTTAGTTTAAGCCCAATGTTACGGCCAAACTTCTTCAAGACCTCACGTAGATTCATATGAAGGGATTCAAAAACTAAACAAAGATGATTCCGGTACTTAAAGGATGAAAGGAAACGAACACAATGGCGCTTGTTGTCTGGGTCAGCACCAACTAATTTCTTTAATATGATCAATTCCTCCTTACCAGCCTTATGCCTATATACATTCCAGTACGAGCAGATAATTCCAAGAAAATCAGGGGTTACCGAAAGTGTTGCCTCAATAGAACCCAACCACAATAGCACCCAAAAAAAAAACTGATAGGGAAGGGGGATTGTGTTAGTTACTCACATGTGCTCATTATTACGTATAATTTTTATTGCCACTTCTTCTGGATCACCGGGTCCAACCTTAAGATCCTTTGCACGAACTACTGTTGAAAAGACACCTTTTCCATGAGCAGCAGTAACTTCATATCGACCATCAAGTACTTCACCAAACCGGTAGCCTGCATACAGAGAGCTGACAACATGAGGACAAATAGCTATTTATTTATTATATTAAGGCACAAATTTATGAACAAAAAACTATAGCCCAAGAATCAGTTGTGGAATTTGTAAATGATTTTTGTTACCGGAAATATATTATGAGAAACTGTTCACTGCATACTCTTTCAAACCATTATCAAGGAGGTCAAACTACAGATGGCCATTTCTTTATTACTGCCATGAAATAATGTTCAAATTTGTGAAAAAATCTACATTTTTATAACACAGGAGACTCCTAATGGACATGTTCATTTCAATTAAATAAAAACTTCGTTTGGCATTGACTAATATCGCCAACTTTTTTGTATTGGGACTTTTTAGCCTGGCTTTTTTAGCCTCATTTGGTTTGGATTTTTTTGGCTTTTTTGACTTTTGTGAAAAAAAAATATAATGATTATGTGTTGGACGTGATATTTTGTCTTATTAGCTTATTTAACCTATTTTGTCATTTTGTGCCTTTTTAGCCCCAACATGATAGCCAAACCAGGGCAAAATATGAGCACAGTGCCAACATCAAACAAAATTGGAATCGGTGAATTAGGTAAGCACTCCTAGGGATCTACCGTGTCATCCTCAACTCCAAAAAGCCAGATAGATCCCGCTTTGTCAGTATACAATGGTAAAAGCACCTTAAGCAAGTTCTTGCTCAATCACATCAGATTCCTTATATGTAGCACAACTCAGCCATCACAATAGGCTACCACAAAAGAAAGATATTTGTGGAGGGTATCTATCTTACCTCACAAATACCTCAATACTGCGAAAACTTGCATGCTTCTTTCAAATTGGAACCCCAAAAAGGTTGCTTAAAAATTAGACTCGATGAATAAAACATAAGTTTTGCAATAAAATCGCATACAAGGATTTTAAAGACTTTCAGACTAGCCATTCCTTTTATTTTAACTTTATACCTGTTTACTGTCACTTGATATACTTGTCTATTGCCCCTACTGCTTTCCCTAATCTGTTTCTCATCCTTCCAATCAGGCATCTTATTTTATAATTGTTTGTTTACATGTAATGATATCTGCAACAAGCCTCAAGTTAAGACCTTTCAAATTCATGGTTTACTAAGGCACTGAATTAGAGAAGAGGTGAACATAATCACATCAAATCCTCACAAGCCAACAAAATATGACATCAAGTTGTAAGACCGGCCTTTAAACAAAAGCAAGGAAATGATTCATGAGTGACAAGTACTTACTGTAATAACCTTCTGCATCATCCCAATTGTCATGAAGACCACTCCTTTCAATTGCTACACTATCCCCTTTCCCCTGTAAGACCAAAATAAACACAGAAACTTGCCATAATTATACATGACAACATTTGTCAACTATGATAACTGTATCATCTAAAGTCAAAAGACAACTATTTAATGTAGTGTAAGAAAAAAGGAATAATTGTAGGAAATATAGTTGAATTTTGTAATAAGGCAATAAGGTTGAATATGAAGAGATAATAGATACATGAAAGAGAAAAGAAAGAACACAGAGGTTTAACGTGGTTCGGCCAATATTGGCCTACATCCACACACACAAAGCCCCATGGGCCACATTGGTATCTTTGACAATATAATCTTATCTCCAACAAATATATCACGAGGTGAACCAATCGTCAAGTGTCAAGAAAGTGCAATAAATTATTCACATCATCTCATGAATTTATTAGCAAAATATTAAGAAAACAAAAACAATCCCCAATATAAAGGACTGCCAAAACACAACCATTCGACAAAAGGATGTATCATACCTACTCTTTGTCCACCCCATGCCCATGACACAAAGGCAGGAAGGCCACACCTAATATGGCTTCATTTGGGGAGAGGGGTTGGGTTGGGTTGGGTTGGATTGGGTTTGGGGCTATTTTAGCTCAAAAAAAACCAAAATAGGCTTTTTAGCCCAATAAGACAAAACATCACATCTAACCCATAATCATTATATTCTTTCTCTCACAAAAAGCCAAAAAGCCATTCCCAAACGAGGTTTTTTAGCCCCAGGCTAAAATAGCCAAAAAGCCAAAAAAACTAACCCACTTCCCAAACAGTTACTATATTACAATACTATCAAAATTATACGTGTTTAAATATTACTTGAACATGTTAGACATTATCAAATAAAAACTTCAAATAAAATTTAACTCCAAGATTTTTTCAATGCTCTGACTTGCTCTTGACAAGATAAATGCACGACCTAAACTTAACTAGTCTCAATCACTTGCCATTGCAGAGATATCATACATAATAATTCTCATGTATCACCAGTCTATTATTACGCAATGACAGGTTGTAGGCTCCATTCCAACGACTGAAAATTGCCATAGAGGCCGGAAAAATGTACAAAAAGGGGGATGACCACAATCTCAAGATCAGCAGCTCAAACCTCAAACCCATGCTTATCAGACAAACCAAACCGAACCAAACGAAACCTCCAATTCACGTCGTTCTCAGAAATTCCATTTACAGACCAAAGCCGCAATTACTTAAATTAAGTAACAAAGAATCAGCTCCATAGAAAAAGTTTAGTTCATGCATGCACAAAATTGTTTTTCTCAAAACATTGAGGGAAACAAAATTCACAAACTATAATCCATTATCTAATTATGAAACATTCATGCATGCCCGAAATTGTTTCCCTCAAGTTTTGCCTAGCTGCTGGAGCTGATTAATAAGTCATAATGAACCAAGAAAGAAAACCTAAAGACAAGCCAGTACATGTTAAACGTAAAGGTATAAATTAATACAGAGTTATATGATACATTGAAAAGAAAGACTTGTACATTTTCTGGAATAGTGACAACATGTCTCATTTATGATTTCTTATTAAAGGCCAGCTGACAATAGGATACTGCAACCAAGGTAAAAGAATATACCAGCATATAATGGATTAAAAAAAAAAAAATTTAAGCACAAGACTTACTGTTTTACGAACTCCAGCAGGTGACTCTCCAAAAATGTCATCACAAAACATATCATTTGACCTCTCACTCTGCAAAATCAAACAGAAACAGAAATCATGTACCTATATAGTACAAGCACTTAAAAGTAAAAAATATTCAATATCAAGACTACAAAATATGGGAATCAAGTATTTTGTCAAAAATAACTTCAAAGGACACTGGGACACATAAGAGAAGAGGCAACGCAAGCAATATAGGGATATAATACTAGAACAAAAATACAAAGTTTTTTGGCAACAAAGCACACCTTAGGAGTACCCTCTCCCAGTCCTCCAGCACCAGAATTCCTCTCAAAAGCAGAAATCCCATTTTGTGGAGGGGATTTGCCCACAGTAAAAGCTGAGCCAGCAACACAGGTATCCACACTTTCATTCCTTCCATCAAGAGTTTTCAGAGCAACATTAACAGTGGATGCCAGCTCAGAAATTTGCTCAAAATGCTCCTTATCTGTCAATTGTCCAATAAGTGTTATCACCAATAGAGATCACAACATGATAAAATAGCATTGATATATTAGAGAAAGAGAATCTAGGTTAGATAGGCAAAGTGGGTCAGATTTTCCAGCTTCAATTTTCTATGGTCCCCAGAACCAACTTATCGGGAGGATGGGAGGAGCCACTGGAAACATATCATTCCAATTTACCAATTGGGCATATCCAAATATTGAAGAAATTTAAAGCATATAACACAAAATCCAACTAATTAGTATTTAGTAAATAAATTATTGTTACCAATTGACACTCATGATGCAAAGCATGCAGTAAAATACCAATAACATTAACAGGTTACATATAGAATACAAGGGGGAAAAATCATATCAGGAACCCAAGGATCTTAAACATAAGGCAACAAATATGACATACAAGATTTATCTAAAATTGCAAACTTGAAAATTAGCTCAGGAAACCGAGGTTGTAAGGAAGCAAGGCCAGTTCATTAGCTAAAATCCTTAAGTTCTCCAAGATTTAAAGCAATAAAGTGACAAGTAATTAGACTAAATAGCAAACTGTGTATATCAAGCAATTTACCCTTATCCCCCAAATGAGGCTCATGTTGTTGATGTAATTGCTGAGTTTTATATTTTTCAAGGATAGCCTGTCTTCGCCTTTTACTCTCCTCCTTAATTCTGTTAAGATCTTCTTCTTCCTGATCCACAAGTTGCAATGCAATCCTTTCTTGATACTCCTGTTGTTGATCTTCATCTCTGCAGCCAAAATACAAAATACATACACCAGTCAGAAGAAAGAAAGAAAGAGGAAAAAAAAAAGATTCCCCACCAAATACATGAATGTTTAGGAAAAGATACCTTTTAGATTTCTGTTCATCCCCACTCACTGGATCAATTTTAGCAACATGATCTCTTTCTTGATCATGTTTCCTGCCCCTGTCCCTGTGTTCTCTTTCATCTTGTCTACGACGCTTGGAATTATAATACCTATCTCGATCATTATAACCATCAACATTTTTTTCATAATTACGAAACCTGCTAACCCTATCACTCTCATTGTCCCTTTCTCTATCTCTAATTCTATCCCTTCCACTCTCCTTCCTCTCCCTCTCCCTCTCTCTTTCCCTGAGTGTATGCTAACTTGACTGTCGGAGGGGTTTTCCAGCAACACACCGCTGGGTAGCTCACCGTCATTGCGTTCATAGGTTAATCGGATCGAAGCGGAGCTTCTCCCTCTCCCTCTCCCTCTCCCCATCTCTATCTCTCTCTGTGGCCTTTTCCCTGTCATGGTCCTGTTCCCTCTCTCTTTTTCTATCCCTGTCCATCTCCCTCCCTTCTCTATCTCTGTCCCAAATCCCCCGACTCCCCTCCCTCTCCTTGTCCTGAGTCTCTCGGCTGTGGGGCCTGTCCACTCTAAATCTGCTATAACTAGAACTGTGTTCCCTTTGTTTATCCCTAAACAAATCCCTAGAGTCATGCTGGAAGTTCCCATTTCGTCCAACCATTTTGTCGTCATCGGAATCAAAAACAGTTCTCCTGTCATCTGTATAATGTAGCGCATCCTTTTGCTGAGTTGTTTTCATGAGGGAAGCCTCTTCTAAGATGCTTTGCGACCGAGATCTTTTCCTTGCCTGATCATGCGACTTTGATCCATTCCTCAACTCATGGTATCTGTCATTTGACGGTGAGTGTGCCACATTTTTGTGCTTGTCCACGTTGTTTCCAGATGACAACGATTTTCTCCAATCCCTTGAATCTACGTCATCATCACGGTAGCTCTTTCGCTTGCGCCTTTCTTTAACAGGGGACTTGGATCCTGTGAGTGGCATATAGTTTTCTTTAAGGGATTCCTGTCCAATATGCCCATCAAGGTAAAACTCAGAACTTGAATACCCTAGCAAACCAACCTCCTTATGGAATTTACAACCATCATTGATATTTACATTCTCATCCAGTATCGCATTACTCACCAACTTGTCATCACTCTGCCCCAATGACTTTGGATTTTGAACACTTGTATCCAAATTGTCTTCCTCTGGAAGACTAGAATTAAGGCCATACTCATTTTGAGCTCCATGAACTCCCTGCACAACAAAGCATACATAAATTGATCAAATTCACAAATTCCAAGGCACGTAAGTAAACGGGGGGGTGAGCAAAAACCATCTTGCTAAAAAAGTGCAAAAATTAACGCTTGTAACCAGTTCTTACAAATCAATTGAAAGCCATCAGTCTTCAGAAAACGCCTAGAATAACTCTGCCTGGAAAAAAAATGTAATCGTGGAGTGCAAATCTGTTTGGAATACATGTCCCGTGTCTGGGTGGTGCTAGCAGGTACTAAAATATTTATGAGAAAACCCACGTACTCCAAATTTGTAATGAACACAGTTCACAATAAAATCACTCCAAGAATCACAAAATCAGCAGATAGCTCCGTTTTGCTGCTGAGAAACAGCTGGGTTGGTTTCAAAACTTCTACACACTAAAAAACGAATTAACCGGCTTGATTAAGTCCGCTGGAGTTTTTTGACAAGTTCAAATCATTTTTTTTTTTCTCCGAATCACCAACCAAGCAATAGAAATAATAAAATTCGACGATACATTCCCTCAATTTCTCAGCAACCAAACAGATAATAAAAGAAAAAATATCAAATTTATTAAAGATGAGATAAGGGGAATCTGAACACACCGTTTTGTAATGATCAGATCCATCGCGAACTTCAGCCGCCTTAACTTCCATGTGAGAATCCATTCTCTTCTTCACAAAATCAGTATCAACGCCGCCGAAGCCGTCGTCGTCTTCGACAATCTCTCCTTCCTCCATATCATCATAATCGGGTCGAGAATTCGATCCCGAGGGCGGTGGAAAAGCAACCCCCACTTCTTCCTGGCGCTTGCTTTGGGCTTCGATATGAGCTGCTTCTTCATTGCGCTTGGATTCATCGTACTTGCGGGTGCTGCTGCGGCGTTGGTGGCGGTGGTGACGGTGGTGGCGATGCTTGCGACGCTTCGAAGGCTCTTCCAATTCATCGGCGGAGGAGGGGGACCGGCGGTGATTACGATGGGTGGGTTCTTCAGAGTCGATGGCCATGGTGGTGGAAATCTAGGGTTAGGTTTTGTTAAGAGAGGAACAATGTTTGAGTTGAGTTGTTAGATCCGATAGAAATTTATCACGACGACACGGGAAGTAATAAAATCATGTGATTTTAAATAATATATTAAAAATTAAAATGACATAAATAATATATTTTGAAGGCCCCTGATAATATGAAAATATTTATAATTTTGGACGCAAAAGTCTTAAAGACTACCTAAGTGTGGGCCATAGATATTATAAATTTTTCTATGTCATAAATGCATAGATTTTGACTCAAATTACTATTCTAGATATGGATAGAATTTTATCAATAAAAAGATTAGGATAATGACATCGGGTACTACTTTGGACCCCATCGTATATCATTCAATCCTCCTTTTTTGATAAAATTTTGACATTATAATTTATTACAAGACACGTGTAATGATTTTCATAGCTTTTCTTTAATGAATCAAGATGGGGGTCATTTGCTCTATTAAAGTAGCGAGTGAAGGAAAAGCCTTATCACTAACAGATGCAAATAATTACAGACACAAATATTTACAACATCTTTTGTCGTTTCTTGGCGTGCATTTCTCTAATAATTGAAGAGAGGCCTTATCTTTTACGGATTTTGTCTTCTTCTACTAAAGTACCAATTATTAATATAGACCCGTGGAATGAATCCTCAAGGTGGATTTGCAAAGGGTCAAGGAAAATTTCTGAGTCTAGAAAACAAGGGCTTGTTAGGATACTTCCAACTATTACAATAGTATATTTATGGTTTTTTTTTTTTACCCATACATTCTGTTCGAGAGATCGTCCAGGTCTGCCGCTGAAAGTTGGTCGTAAAAATCATCATCTATGGCTGGTTCATCTTCCCATTGATTATCTTTGTCATCTTCTCCCATTAGTGGTGACTCATGAGAGATGCTATGTTGATAGTTAGAATACTGACTTTCATCAACGAATGTTTCTTTGCTGAAGGGATATCCTAAGATAGCTAGGTTACAGTATATCTTCTGATTTTTATCTTCGCAAACTAGATGTCCATAATTTCCATTATATGCTAATAGAGGATTATTAGCGAATTTCCTCCATTTAATGAGCTGATCTCTGAGTGAAAATTTTCTGCATGGCCAGGGTCTCCGATTGAGAAGTCCTGGGTATCCCAAAAATGTTGAGGTTCCTCTGAGGTACATGTTATGCTTGGCTGGGATGAACCTTATTTCTTTCCACTCTGGTAGCCTGCTATCAATTAATGCTTCTACATATGGATGATGCTCTTTCATTACACAAAGTACTGAATGAGCAAGTTTATTTCCAAAGCTATCTGTCTGATCTGGATCTGAAAAAATTATTCTAGAGACAAAGCCGTAATCTAACAATTGTGAGGCCGTTAGATAACGCGTTTTGCCCCTAATCTCTATCTCTAATGGTTCGAATGTTGCTAGATTTATCTAGCAAAGGCAGATGCTGAAATCTAAATTACACTGGCATCGACCAAAATGTTCTGACCTGTCCATACATCTTTTTTCTTCTAAGCAAGGTTGCTCTTCATCTTCATAGAGACAAGTCCATTGATAAGCTATACCAGGGCATTGAACTCCTGCTATGGAGAGGTCTTGAAGAAACTGCTGAATAGTGACTAACTTGTTATTTCTGCTATCTTCGGCTAAGGTGTATATATAGGGTTTAAGATCCTCTATTTCTTAGTTTTTCTCACAAAAAGATCGAATGATAGAATGCCTGAAGAAATACATTCTAGCACTCAATTGTTCAAATTCCTCACTGGTAAGTCGTCTGATTTCTAGGTTAGGAAAGGAGGCGGTTGCTTTTTTTGGAGCTAATTTTTTAAGCTGGTTAGTTAGAGTTCGAATGGTTGCTCTCAATTGTTTTTCTTCGTCTCGAAGCTGGTCTAGCCCTTCACTGACTTTTTTGCCTTTTTCCATAATTTTCTTGAAATTTCTGGTAAAGCCTTCACAATGTTTGCACATTTGGAGAGGATTTTGAGAATCTATCTGAGGATCATTACTACTACTTCCAGTGCTACTTCCAGTACTATTACTTCTAATTATCTGGCTAACTGGAACTCCACTAGTAGCAAGAATGGTTGACTGCATCTTGCCCAATGTGTCTAGGTAATCTTTAGCTATCTAGATGATAAAGTAACTGGTTCCTATTTGTTTTCGGGCATATGTACTGGTTGACTCGAAATCATAAAATCTTTTAAACTGAGGTATGGGAAAATTTTTAACTAAGGGTTCAACTTCTAACTAATCATGGTAAATACCAGGCTTGGTTCCTTTAACTACTACATAAAAAGAAAAGCTTTTGGACAAGGGTTTATTTTGGATTTTTGAAAAATATATACTGAGAGAGTTTAAGGCTGGCAGACGTTTAGCTAGGTGGTTATGACTGTTCCAAAGGTTATCTAGAAGACACTGTTGAACTGGGTCTACCTCAATTCATGTTAATGGTCTGAATTTGTTTCTGCCTTCATGAATGAGAAGGGCAAATCCCCCAAAATTCATGGTTTTTCCGTTCTCCATTATCTGCACAAAAATTAAACTGGTTATTTTCTTTCTCTAAATAAATCTTCCTACTTAGCCAATCTGTTAATTTGTTATCACTCCCTTTAATGTGTTCAAATTCTACTTTATATCATTGTCCTACTATACAATCTAAAATTTTTGCCCATCTTCTAGTACTTAATTTGCACTCATTAAGTTTATTATGAAATCTAACTATAGCTTCACAATCTATTCTAATTGTAAAGGGTTTATGCAAAAATAATCTAAATTTGTTTATTGCATATACTATTCCTAATATCTCAAAATCTAGGCTGGTCATGGTTGTATCTTTTTTTTAAAATTTTCCAGAACTATATTTACAAATGCGCACTTTATTTTTACTATCATACTTGCTCGGTTTAGCTAATAATACTGTTCCCCATCCTAACTGACTTGCATCTGTTTCTATTACTATATATTCTGTTTTTAAGGGAAGTTATAGGTCGGGTAAGTTTTTACAAATGTCTTTTATTTTTCTAACTAAAGTTATATTTTGTTGATTGAAATATTTTTGCCCTGTAGGTGTAGTCTTACTGTATAGGAGTCCTATTATTTTACTAAGGTTAGGAATGTACATTCGGGCATAATTTAAAATTCCTAAAAATGATTGGAGTTGTTTTGTATCTTCTAATTTGTCTGGATAATCTAAAATTTTCTTAACTATGTGAGGTTGTAGTCTAATTTTTCCATTTCCTAACTCCATTCATAAAAATTCTATATGAGATTTATTTAATACCATTTTCTTTTTACTAATTATTATCCCATTATTTATAAATTCTTCTAATACTATATATAAATGATCTATGTGACTATTTTTATCTGGGCTGAATACTAATACGTCATCTATGTATACCAGTATAAAACTATATTTATTAAATATACTATCCATCTTACGCTGAAATATTGAATGTGCATTTTTTAGTCCAAAAGGCATGACTAGCCACTCATAATGTCCTTGTGGGCAACAAAAGGCTGTCCACGGTATGCTTTCCTTTTCCATTTTTATCTGCCAAAATCCTGACTTGCAATCAAATTTGCTAAATATTTTCGCTATCTGTATTCTATTTATGAGCTGATCTTTATCTGGTATATTATATTTATCGTCTTCTGTATTATCATTTAATATTTTATAATTTATAATCATTCTAGCTTTTTCTCTTTTTATCTCTGCATGATTTCTAACCATGAATGCAGCGCTCCTATGCGGACTATTACTAGGTCTAATTACTCCTAAATCTAGTAACTCCTTAATTTGTGTTCTAAATTTTTCTATATCTGCTGGCGTATGATCTATTTGTGCTAATGTAATCCTATAATTTTTATTTTTTATATCTAAACTGGCTAAAATTTTATTTCTTTCCCAATATTTCATGGGCTGTTCCCCTAAAATCTCTGTTGTTTCAGCTAATCTTATTATTTCATCTAAATCATTTTCTGTTCTTTTGTACACTGGTATTTTCTTTAATTTTCCTATTTTTGAGAAGATTAATTCTAGATTAACAATTTGTTGAAAATCTTCTAGGTTCCAATAGTCTCCTTTTTCAAAATCAAACTCTTCTAAATCTTCTAATTCATAATTTTCTTTGTCTAAATTTTCTAAATAAGTATTTGCTATCTCATCAGGTATATACTTTTGGGCTAGCTCGGGAAAAATATTTCTACTAGGAAATAAAAAACTAGCGGGAACTGAATCTACTCCTATGGTCCCACCACGCTTCGCACGCAACTCTGATGAATGGGCAATGGTGCTAAGGGCATATGTTGTGGGTGTATGTACAGTTCGTTTGAAGAAACTAATCTTGTTTTTGCTGATAAGCATGCCGCCCTGTAAACTAAGGATGAAGTTAAGTCAAAAAATGAAATGATGATTTTGTCAAGTATTTCCAATCCAAACTTGAGGTAAAGGGAACCATTCTATATGTTGAGTTCGAGATCCTATGTAATGAAAACTAATCTATGCTCCATTGATGCAATGTGTATATGTCTGTTTAGTGCCATCGGCTATACTGACTAAAGTTGGGGTTATCAAAGCTGTGCTCCATCCTGGTGGAACTATGTATTGTTCAATATATGATTTACTGGCTTCTGTATCTATCATGACATCTATACTAAGAGTTTTTTCTACAAATTTAATTACACAAGAGATTTCAACTAAATTTGGCTTGAGTATAACAGGGTAATTAAATGGTAAGTACGCATTATCTGACCGTGCTTGGGAGTACTGACTAAAGGGTTGAGAATCAACTAGGTTGACTAATTCTAAAGAATTCATATGTTCTTCAACAAGTTTATTTTTTAAAGGGTACTTATTGTGAAATTGTTCTAGCTGCTGTTTAAGCTGTCTATTTTCTAGTTGTAAACACTCTATGTCAAAATTAGCTTTAGTTTCTATCTCACGTATTTGAAGTTTAAGTTCTCTTACTTATACTTCTAATTATCTAATTGTTAGATGTAATTCTCTGCTTTCTATACTCTAATCTTCTAACAGCTCGTTGTTATTTCCTGATGTTATCTTATTTGTCATGTTTAATTTTTCTA